TTTCAAGCCCCAAATCCTGGGAACTCTCTAGGAGCAATTCAGGGAGTAATGTCAGAGTTTGGGGGTGCGCAGGCAGAAGGACTGCTAGATCAGCAGACACTGTGTTGTAAAATAAGGACTCTGCAGGCTTTTAGTTACAAAAGAAACTAAGTTTTACTAAGCACATTCAAAGGACATGTCTTACTACAGCGAGCTACAATTCAGGAACTAGTCAAAACGAAAGTCTCTTCACATCTGCTTATCTCTTCTTGCTGAGACTAGTTACTCCCTTCTGTTCCCAGCAAGAGCAAACATTATCTCACTTCTCTCAAGGTTACTTAATCACAGCCTCATGGAATAAACATTCTGCACAGCATTTCTAATACACAGTGGAATCCATCTTGGCAATACATAGAAGCACATTTAAAACACATACATAACTAAATTAATCCTGACAAGTAAACCATCATCCCTATACACTGTAGGAACATTCTCATGGGAAACTACACTTTGAACCAGTGTCTCTATGTCATTCTCTGCATCATTATCACTGACCAAACCATTGCCATCTTGAACCTCATTTACATCATCCCCCACATCCAAAGCACCCTGATCCCGAAACACAATCACAGGCTGAACACCAACACTAGCTTCAGGGCCCCTTCAGATACATCTAAAAAAGATGTTTATGGTTGAGTATTGGTGAAAAGAGAACAAGAATGAAACTGGTGTCAATGCCGTCTTCTTACATTTTTTTTCATAAGTTTTCATAAGATTGTGCATTTTATCGGGAGCCCAAATTTACATTTCTGCTAGTGCAATCACTTGAAGTACTAAAGCAATTTCTCTCCCACTCTCTCAGTGGTGCTTTTACTCCTCTGTGGATCACACAATGTGTTTGCAGCAGAGCATTCTGTTCATTCTTATTTTTTGCTTCCTCAGCTAGTAGCAATTATACTGACTAGGCTGCTTTTCTCCCCCACATCATCTTGCAATATGTTCCATTCCAGCTCCAATCCCCTCCCCTTAGGGAGTTATGAAGGAAGTGTAGTGCTTCAGTAAAGTAATTTCTGAGTGTTTCCCCCCCATTTTGTGTTTGTTTGCAGGCACAGCTTGTTATTGTCTTTCCTTTCATCAGAACAAAGTGGATTTGAACCAATTCTGTCATTAAGTAGCATTTTCTTTCACTAGCATGCTTGGTCAAAACCAGTTTGACACTACATTGTTTTCCATGATTTTGACCTTACTCGGGAAATGCCCGAATGCTACCTAGCAAGTAAGGCCGTGCACGGATACGTTTTTCAAAACAGGCTTCGGTTGCTTTGGCAAGCCATAATGACATGGGCACCCCACCATTTTTTCCATCCACAACAGACCACGCAGCTGCCAGAAATGACTGTTTTCTGTTTCTTTTGGGGTGCAAAGAAGCAGCTGCTCACCTGCATGGCTTTTGCTGTGAGGCTGTTAGCTAGTGTTCTATCTCAGTGCCTTTGCTGCTCTTAGGATCACTCCACTTGCTTTTGGTCTTCAAAATTCCAATCTTTTCCTTTGGCAATTTCATGTATTTTTCTTTGTTTAATATCTTTTGCTCCTTTTTTTTTACTATTTCGCTAGGGAAGTGAGGGTCGGCATGCATTTGGAGGGTGTAGTGAAAGGACATTTGGGGGGTGTTTGTTTAAATATTGGGATGGTTTACTGAAGGGAGGAAAGAACCTGACTCCGTTGAGTCCCCCACAGGGGGAATTTAATTCATCCCAAGGTCTCACTGAAGGATATTAGGAGAAAGTGTCAGGATTAATTTAGATATATGTGTGTTTTAAATGTGCTTCTATGTAATTTCAAGATGGAGTCTAATGTGTATTAGAAATTACTGTGCAGAATGTCCATGAGGCTGTGATTAAGTAACCTTGAGAGAAATGAGATAATGTATGTTCTGGCTGGGAACAGAAGGGAGTCACCCGTCTCAGCCAGAGAGAAGGGAGATAAGCAGATGTTCAGAGACTTTCGGTTTTCCACTAGTTCCTGTTTGTAGCTCGCTGTGTTAAGACGTGTCTTGGATGTACTTAGTAAAACTTAGTTTCTTTTGTAACTGAAAGACTGCAGAGTCCTTATTTTGCACTCAGTGTCTGCTGATCTGGCAATCCTTCTGCTGGCAAACGTCAACACTCTGACAGAAAGGATTCCAAAAACTTCTAACTGTCTGATGCCTTAACCCAGGACTAGTTGAAGTCTGATGCCTTAACCCAAATCTAGTTGAAGGATATTAGGGGAGGGGAGCCCAGAAGAAGTGGTTTCTTAAGTCTGATGCCTTAACCCAAGTCTAGTTGAAGGATATTAGGGAAAGGGAGCCCAGAAAAAGTGGTTTCTTAAGTCTGATGCCTTAACCCAAGTCTAGTTGAAGGATATTAGGGGAAAGGACCCTAGAAGAAGTGGTTTCTTAAGTCTGATGCCTTAACACAAGTCTAGTTGAAGGATATTAGGGGAAAGGACCCCAGAAGAAGTGGTTTCTTAAGTCTGATGCCTTAACCCAAGTCTAGTTGAAGGATATTAGGGGAGATGACTCCAGAAGAAGTGGTTTCTTAAGTCTGATGCCTTAACACAAGTCTAGTTGAAGGATATTAGGGGAGAGGATCCCAGAAGAAGTGGTTTCTTAAGTCTGATGCTTTAACCCAAGTCTAGTTGAAGGATATTGGAGGAAAGGACCCCAGAAAAAGTGGGTTCTTAAATCTGATGCCTTAACACAAGTCTAATTGAAGGATATTAGGGGAGAGGACCCCAGAAGACGTGGTTTCTTAAGTCTGATGCCTTAACCCAAGTCTAGTTGAAGGATATTGGGGGAAAGGACCCCAGAAAAAGTGGTTTCTTAAGTCTGATGCCTTAACCCAAGTCTAGTTGAAGGATATTAGGGAAAGGGAGCCAAGAAGAATGGTTTCTTAAGTCTGATGCCTTAATCCAAGTTTAGTTGAAGGATATTGGGGGAAAGGACCCCAGAAAAAGTGGTTACTTAAGTCTGATGCTTTAATCCAAGACTAGTCTAATGATATTAGAGGAAAGAGCTCAGAAAATGTGATTTCATAAGTCTGATGCCTTAACCCAAGTCTAGTTGAAGAATATTAGGGGAAATTTATTTATTATTATTTATTTCCTATATTTATAACCCGCCCTTCTTACTCCCTGGGAAATGACCTCAGAAAAGGTGGATTCTTAAGACTGTTCCCCTAAAAATGATGGAAAGGGGAGCTGCAGAGGTTCCCCCATTGCCATCAATGTACCGGATCTTCCCGGAGCAAAAATGGTCTTTCATCTGCCAGATCGAAAAACGGAATTTTGCCCACCTGAATTCAGGTAGCTCCCAAAAAACAGATTGGGGGAGGGGTGGTGCACCGAAATCCAGATACCAAAAATGACACAAGGTTTAATTGAATCGCATACCACTACTAGCTAGACTTTCTGTCAACAAGATCAGCAACTCAGCACTTTAATCCACTGTGCCAGCGGGAGCTCCGGTGGTGCCAGATTGAGAAAGACTGAGGATATGCTGCTACAGATTTTGGGACTTTGGCTCAGGAACTTGCTTTTGGAACTAATAATATTACCTGTTCTCAGAGGTGGCCCTAGGTAAATTTCAATGGTAAGCAAACAGTATTTTGGCACACCCCCTCCCACCCAACCAATCACTGTTCGTCGTGGGAGTTCTGTGTGCCATATTTGGTTCAATTCCAACATTGGTGGAGTTCAGAATGCTCTTTGATTGTAGGTGAACTATACATCCCAGTAACTACAACTTGCATATGTCAAGGTCTATTTTTCCCCAAGAGCGCCTCAAGAGCGCCCCTGGGCAAAATCAACTATACTGCAAATGCTTACTTTGCGTAATGGGTTGAGCCGCCCCTGCCTGTTCTGCCCCTGTGCTATCTTAACTACTTGGAAGCTGAACTGGCTGTGCATAGAACAGATCGGAGACCATATAGTTGAATAAAAAAAGAATTTATTAACTGACAAGAATTTTAGAGTTTCTCTCCTCCTGAGTCTCACTACAAAGTTTTTATGAGGAGAGGTAAAGTCTTTGAAAGGAGCCTGCAGTGGCGCAGTGGATTAAAGCGCTGAGCTGCTGAGCTTGTTGACCGAAAGGTTACAGGTTCGAATCCAGGGAGCGATGTGAGCTTCCACTGTCAGTCCCAGCTTCTGCCAACCTAGCAGTAGATCAATATGTACCGCTCCGGCGGGAAGGTAATGGCGCTCCATGGAGTCATACCAGCCACATGACCTTGGAGGTGTCTATGGACAACGCTGGCTCTTCGGCTTAGAAATAGAGATGAGCACCACACCCCAGAGTTGGACACGACTGGATTTCATGTGAGGGGAAAACCTTTACCTTTACTAAAGTCTTTGAAAGATAAGCACAGTTCTAACCGAACTGAGGCTCTTTAATCTTTATGTCTTCTTGTTGTCTCTTTCTTGTATGGTGTTCAGCTGTCTCTAAGATGGTCTCAGAATTTAGCCCTCACTGGACTTGAATACAGTATCGACTGGGCTGTCTAGACTGACCCCCCTGAAACTGTACATAAAATATTAATCCCTCTAAGTAAAAAGTAGAGGTAAACAGTGAGGGGCTTAATGGGGCACGGCACTTCCAGTTGACTCCATACTCAAAAAACCCCCGTGTCCATTCGAATTACATTCCTTCTATTCCACTCTTCTTATATCTGAGAATACAGATATAATGTATGTGCATCCTGTTTGAATTATGTTGGAATTCTGAGAACCAAACAAAAGGAAATCACACTCTGGTATTTTATTTCTCAATGTGGAAGAAACTAGAGTATATCTATATAAAAGGAAGAGGGTGAAATTCCCAAAAATAGATTTTGTCAACAGCATATGCAAAAATGTTTCATTCATAAAGCTGGACTGAAAGTGATCTCGGAAATAGATACATTCCTTATGTGTTTATTAAGTGCATCTTTCTCTCTCTCTTTTTCTCTCTTTTCCATGCTTCCATTTCCTCTTCCCCCTTTTAGATAGAAAGCCTCTTCATGAAATAAAACCCCAAAGTAAGTTTTTTTCTTATATTTCCTTTGACAAAGGTTTCCTTTTTATAAAAAAACACACATTATTTTAGCTAAATATAAATTAACCAAAAATAGATTGCTGAGTAGGCAGCAAATGCAAGCCCTTTCATAGACGTGCCATTCATGTGTTCACTGTGCAATGACAAGAGCTGGACGGGGTTTGCTAGCTCCGTCTTCAGCTTCAATGTATTTCATTGTCTATTCCACTTTTTCCATTGTCTGAAATTCTGGACATAAACATGTGCAGACTTTTCACTGAATGCACAAAGTCAAGGAATTAAATTAGTAGCTTAATTGTTATCCGAAGGTAAAAATAGGTGTTATCCCTCCTATGTTAGTCTTCAGTGAGCGTATGAAGGCACGATGAAAGGGGATATTAATTAAAGAAGGGTGAGATTTCTTCTCATTTATGGATTCACATTTTGTTAACTCACACTTGGAGGATTGATGTACATGTATGTGGCTTCAAGTCATCCATGGACAAAGATGGCATGTAATTTTTTTAGGCGAGGGATATTCCAAGATGGTTATGCCAGATCATCTGAACATTTGGGATGCCTACATTTGGGATGTCTTCCCCTTAGCATTTTTGATAGTCTTTATTATTATTATTATTATTATTATTATTATTATTATTATTATTATTTACGGTATTTATATTCCGCCCTTCTCACCCTGCAGGAGACTCAGGGCGGATTACAATGTACATATAATGGCAAACATTCAATGCCATAGACACACAACATATATAGACAGACGGTCAGAGGCTATTTAACATTCCAGCTTTTTTATGAGGGTATTCTGGCCACCAGGGGAGCTTTCACCTCACCGTCCATTTGTAATGAAGTACTTCCTCATTCTTTGCATGCTTGCTGAAGATTTTTATGGCATTGTAAATTAGCCTCCCCTAAATTTCCTACTTGACAGATGCAACTGTCTTTCGGGCTGCAAAGGTTGACAGCAAGCTACACAAATTGGTCGGAAGCTCACTCCAGCTGGCTTCGAACTCATGACCTTTTGGTCAGTAGTGATCTTAATGCAGCTGACTCCCAGCCAGCTGTGCCACAATCCCAGTGCAGGTACTAGCCAGACATGACCCTGCTTTTTTCCCAAGATCAGAGGGGATTTTAGACCAAAATTTATGTTAATAACAGATGGATGCAATCCAAGGCTAGATATTTCATAACGGATTAGTGGTAATGTATTGTCGAAGGCTTTCATGGCTGGAATCACTGGGTTGCTGTAGATTTTTCTGGGCTATATGCCCACGTTCTAGAGGCATTTGTGGTACATTCTTATTGGGGAGTGGGAAGAATGAGTAAGTGAGAAATAGGAGAAATAGTAGACATGTGTGCAAAATTCGTTCTTACAGTTTCTTCCATTTTTTTTCGTGTCTTCCGTTTATTTGGAAGCATGAAACGGGAAGCCCCCTCCCCACACGAAAATTAGCTCAATATGAAAGCATGCTTTCAAGTGGAGCTGATATTTCATGCTTTGTGTGCTTCTATTTCTCCTCCTCCCTCACTCCCTCACACCCACAATGCACCGCATTCACTTGTGGGAGTCAAGGCCAGGCAGCCCCACATCTGGGCCTCGGCATCAGAGAGGGAGGAACCACCGCCGCTCCTTCCTTTCTGGGCATGTGCGTGTAGTAGGATGTGTGACTGTGCAGGCAGTCGGCTGCAGGCAGGCACTGAAAGACATGAGTGCTCTTTCCAGGCCTGCCTGTGCCCCGCCACATATACACACACTTTCCAGGGAGAGTGTGTGTTTGATGTGGGGTTTGCAGGCAGGCCTGGAAAGCTTGCATGCGCCTGTCAGTGCCTGCCTGCAGTTAACACATGCCCCACTGCCTGCCACACTCTCTGAGTGGAAAGGAGGGAGGGACAGTGGTTCCTTCCATCCTGATAAAGCATGCTTGCTGAGGTCCGGATGTGGGGTTGCCCAACCATGACTCCCATGAGTGAATGCGGGACATTGCGGGCTCGAGGGAGGGAGAGAGAATAGAAGAAGTGCATTGCCCACACACATACATGCCTGTCAGTGACTGCCAGGCAGTCAAGCATCTCAGAATGGGGAGCTAGCAGGTGGGAAGCCCCAAATTCGACCCCCAAAACGAAAGAATCAAAAACGGCTGTGCCAGGGATTTGAGTTTCCTTTTTCTTTCTTTGCTTGTTTGCATGAATTCCTGAAGGCTTTGCACTTTGCAATTTGATAGCTTCCTCCAGATTGCAGTTATAGAGCCAGCAACCTGTCAATCATTGTTGCAGCCTTTAGATCCACCCCTTTCCCCAGGGTTTTGGAGGGGAAAGGGACCTTTAGCTCAGTTATCACGGAGAATCCTTTCCAACAGGACGTGTGAGATTCTCCCACCTGTAGAAAGCTTTGTTTCTCACAAATTTCGGGGAAAAGCAGTTCCACAGCTTTACTAAGAAATACAGCCAGCTTTGCTGGAAGGTAAAGGACACCAGCTGGAAAATCTACAAAGTCTTGGCCGGTAAGGTCTACTTGGGTTACCCATAAATTGGAACCGGGAGTAGGGCCCCACGCCAGCCTAAGAACAGATTGCCCAGGGAAGGGTCAAGGATTTCCTTTATAGAAGAATGAAACAGTTCTTGAAGCAAGTTGCCTGTCCCTTGTGGGCAGATTAAGAAAGCTATCAGTTTTCCAGAGTTTTAAAGTATTTGATTGATTTGTTGAAGATGTAAGCATTAATAAAGAACCTTGTTAAACTTTCTAAGCTTCTAAAGACTTTGTATAGGGAAATCCATAGGGCCTCTCAGCCGAGGCACCCCAGGTGTCCCGCTGGGCCTATACAGACCATGTCCTGTTAATAGACAATTGCTACAGGCCCAGCGTGTGACAGCACAACCCTTCCAATTTCACGAGGCTTACCGAAAACAGATTGGGCCCCACAACGAAAGCCTGGAAACAAAATGGGACAAGCTTTTACCCGAATGCACGTCACTAATAAATAGTGCCTACCAAGGGCAAGATGGATGGATGGCATCCTTGAAGTGACTGGACTGACCTTGAAGGAGCTGGGGGTGGTGACGGCCGACAGGGAGCTCTGGCGTGGGCTGGTCCATGAAGTCACGAAGAGTCGGAGACGACTGAACGAATGAACAACAACAACCTAGTAATAGCCCTACACTAGAAGAATCTTTTGGTTGCTAACCTTTCTTTCTTAAACTTTTTTTCAGCCCTGGGTTAGGGGGCTGGAACTTTAAATGTCTAATTATGCTTTTATTGAAATAGCTAGGCATTCTGACACCAATGTTTGCTTTGTTTTGGTATGAGGGGCATCAGGAACTCGGATATGGCTTGGAAAGTTCCAATGGAAGATTGAAATGTCCCCCTGACATGACCAAGTTGCCTAACCTTGATAAACATAAATAGTATGCATATGTGACAAAATGAAGCTCGCAGCAATGTGTATTGCCTGCCAATATAACCGCAGAGGTCCTCTAAGAGCTTGGAGCTGTTTTCATTACTTTTCCAAGCTCTTTGGGCTAATTTGGGCCAAGGAGAGGACTTTTGTTTGGAACAGGAATGAGCAGGAAGTAATTTGATTTAAGGGTTGCTGTGAGTTTTCCAGGCTGTATGGCCATATTAAAGCATTAGAATCATAGAGTTGGAAGAGACCTCCTGGGCCATCCAGTCCAACCCCATTCTGCCAAGAAGCAGGAATATTGCATTCAAATCACCCCTGACAGATGGCCATCCAGCCTCTGTTTAAAAGCTTCCAAAGAAGGAGCCTCCACCACACTCCGGGGCAGAGAGTTCCACTGCTGAACGGCTCTAACAGTCAGGAAGTTCTTCCTCATGTTCAGATGGAATCTTCTTTCTTGTAGTTTGAAGCCATTGTTCTGTGTCCTAGTCTCCAGGATGCAGAAAACAAGCTTGCTCCCTCCTCCCTGTGGCTTCCTCTCACATATTTATACATGGCTATCATATCTCCTCTCAGCCTTCTCTTCTTCAGGCTAAACATGCCCAGCTCTTTAAGCCGCTCCTCATAGGGCTTGTTCTCCAGACCTTGATCATTTTAGTCGCCCTCCTTTGGACACATTCCAGCTTGTCACTATCTCTCTTCAATTGTGGTGCCCAGAATTGGACACAATATTCCAGGTGTGGTCTAACCAAAGCAGAATAGAGGGGTAGCATTACTTCCCTAGATCTAGACCAGGGGTCCACAAACCTTTTAAACAGAGGGCCAGGTCACAATCCCTCAAACTGTTGGCGGGCCGGATTATAATTTTCAAAAATGAATGAATGAATGAATGAATGTTTAGCCGGGTTGCAGCTAAACATCAAAAAAACCAAGATTATGGCAACAAGAATGATTGACAACTGGAAAATAGAGGGAGAAAACGTGGAGGCCGTGACAGACTTTGTATTTCTAGGTGCAAAGATTACTGCAGATGCAGACTGTGGCCAGGAAATCAGAAGACGCTTACTTGTTGGAGGAGAGCAATGTCCAGTCTCGATAAAATAGTAAAGAGTAGAGACATCAGACTGGCAACAAAGATCCGCCTAGTCAAAGCCATGGTATTCCCTGTAGTAACCTACGGATGTGAGAGCTGGACCTTAGGGAAGGCTGAGCGAAGGAAGATAGATGCTTTTGAACTGTGGTGCTGGAGGAAAGTTCTGAGAGTGCCTTGGACTGCGAGAAGATCCAACCAGTCCATCCTCCAGGAAATAAAGCCCGACTGCTCATTGAAGGGAAGGATACTAGAGACAAAGTTGAAGTACTTTGGCCACATCATGAGGAGACAGCAAAGCCTAGAGAAGACAATTATGCTGGGGAAAGTGGAAGGCAAAAGGAAGAGGGGCCGACCAAGGGCAAGATGGATGGATGGCATCCTTGAAGTGACTGGACTGACCTTGAAGGAGCTGGGGGTGGTGACGGCCGACAGGGAGCTCTGGCGTGGGCTGGTCCATGAGGTCACAAAGAGTCGGAGACGACTGAACGAATGAACAAA